TGCCTGCATAGCGTCTAGCAAAATGGTTGAAAATGCGCCACTAAGACTGAATCAATGACAGTTTATGTATAGAAGGATTTATACAAATATCGAGAAGTTAGAGAAACAACGAGTATATGTCAAGAAGATGTTTTGCCTGATAGAGAAAATCTAGTACTCGCTAGGGATAAATAAATGCGCTTTTGATGTAGTTGAAGCTTGAATCATTCAGGTCTCGTATAAAAGAGTAGCCATTTAGGAGTGTAGGTTCAACCTTTGCAGTGGCTAACAGCGATTGGCGCTACGTTGAAGCACTGACAATCAACTGCAATGTCTCCGATTTTAAATTCACATTTAGTTGGTTTCAGATACGGGCTGTATAAAGCCAGCTTTTTGATTGAGTAATTTGCTAAGATTATTTTGATGAGAAATTCAATTAGATCTCAGATTGGCTAGCTATGCAAGGGAATTAAATTCATAAAGAATAGTTCACAACAATGTTTCCACTTTGGAATTTCTCATGGGAAATCCTCATCTTATAGTTCTAACTACTTTTAAAATTAAGAGAAATCTAGAATCGGGTAGAATTTAAATGATAGTGCACGATCATATACTCAAATAGAACTGAACATGGCAGCAACTATAGCTGCGAGTATGAGTGGCGTCCATTTGGGGCACTTAAGAGCGACTAACTGCTTCCCGACGAAATTCATTAAAGGAACGCTTCAGACACTCCAAATTCATTGGGAGAATCTTTACCATTTATTTCTTACTTGTTTTAGTGGGAACGAGAGATGGCAAAAAGCTAACAAGTATATTTGAGGGTGTGAGTGAGAACAGCTGTGCTGAATTTGCTGACGATCGGGATAGAACATTCCATGAAAAACCTTAATTAAACAATTTACATAAATTCATTCAAAGTAGATTTGAGTACAATAAAATCCGTTTTTCTCATTTCACTTATCCATACTTCTGCCCATTCACTTGTCTAAATTTCTTTGGGTATTTTGGAATTAACTGTTTAATCCAACGAGGACTTTGAATGAAAATCTCACTCAAATGGTATATGACGAGTATTGGTTTGAACCAATATGATTTATTTTAATCTGAAAGTTCCGCTACGCAGGTATTTTTGTAGCGAGCACTGGTAAATGATATTCTCGGTTTTTTACTGAGGGCTATACGGATTATGATGATAGTTTTCGAGAAGTATAGTGCATTTTCACCCTATTATCTCGGATATGTTTTGTTTCTTGATTATCTCTACAAATCGAATATACTGTCTTTTCGGAGCCTGTGGATATTGCTGTACTATTGTGGGTCATACAGATTTACTTTGGATAGTACTCGTAGAGTATCAGTTTAAGTGAATGAATGGTATGGAAAGTAGTATCTCAAAGATACGCATGGCTATTCACACGCCGACACAGATTTGTGTATTACTATTCGCACTCAGACACAACCTTATACATAGGCCAGTTGCTAGCTTTTGAAAGGTATGTGTAACAGTAAAAATATCGAAGCAGTCAAATATTCAGTCGAGGGTCAAGCGAGTCACAGAGACGAGCGTTACTTGTTTTTAGATAGTGAAGATTTTCAATACTAGTGTTTGTGTGCATAATATGGGCATGTACTTTTAATCTTGTTGATAATTATGCATTTCTTTCAGTTCTAAATCAATACAGATATCATTTAAAAAGAAGAATTTTCTGACTGAATGAATGTTTACATGCTTTGACAAAATGCAGTTTTTCCAGTTTGCTTCCTTTTTGTTGTTTTGCATGTTGAGATGATTTAACAACACTTATAACGCACTAATAATTGCAATTAGTTTTCTTTATTACTTTCAAAATGAATCTATATAATATAAAGGAATCCAAAATGAGACAGTTATAATGGATTCGTAGTTCTAGAATGATGACTAAGATTTTCATAGAAATCTAAGAGATCTTTTCACCAAATTTTTTGTATCACATATTCAACAACAATACAGGAAAAAAATTATGCATTTTACGATAAAGAATCATTCTATCAAATACTTCTAACACTTCTCTTTTATCATATTGGCGATTTAAACGAAAACATCTGAAAAAAGTAATGGAAATCATATGGTTTCAGAGAAACTTCATTAGATGTTGACGTATGCGATATAGAGATATAGGAGGTATTGAAGATAAAAAAGATATTAACCAGTGTAGATTGTCTATATATAGTCCTTGAATTTAAGTCTCTCAAAGCTTTGTATGTCCTACATCTCCCACATCTTTATGTCATATACATTAGCGCTTTATTGAGCTTCTCGAGGAAATTCTTCGAACGCATCTAATCAAACAAAAGAAGAGAAACATTGAAAATATTGCTCTTTGTCGTACAATTCATTCTTTTTTGTCCACCATCAATGTTAGAAATTTGACACAAGTAAAAAATATTGCCAAAAGATCTCTCAGATTCTTATGAAAGTCCTGGTCATCATTCTAGAGCTACAGTTCTATTACAACTGTCTCATCTTGGATTTCTTTAAATTATATTGATTCCTTTCAAAAGTAATAAAGAAAAGTAATTATAAATATTAATGCATTATGAGTGTTGTTAAATCATCTCAACATGGAAACAAAAAAAAAGTTAGCAAACAGGAAAACTTGAGCATGTTGTCAATAAATATTAACTTTCATCGAGTCAGAAAACATTTTTTATATCTGAAGAAAATATCCAGAAGCACTTAGCAAAATGACTTTTGATACTGTTGCTTATGTAGTCACAATTATCGTTTTGTTCTCACTTATTGCAGGATGGTTTGTATTAATACATTATGCGTTAATCATCATTTTTGTCAAGCAATTTCATACGCCAACTAATTTTATTATACTTAACATTCTCGTCTGGTTTTTTCTCTTGGATGTTGCCAGTACTGTTTTTGTAACTATAGGTGCATTTTTTCCAACCATTTATATATATATATATGTTCAATTCATGGCTATGTATGGGATGTACCAGTCTGTGGAGTCGTATATTCATTAACTCTTATGTCGATCAATCAACTTTGTCGATTTCTATATCCAACACGATTATTATTCAAAACGAATAAATGGGTTTTCATCTGTTGTATAATTCGATGGATTTTGTCTTTAATTATGCCGTTTCCAATGATTGCTCCATCACTAGGAGTAAGTTCAATTTGAAATATTATTACATCATAATGATAAAATCGAAAAAGTTCAGAATAAGTTGACGAGATTGACAAAATTTTTTTAAACCATTATCTCAGAAGTTTATGTTCTATTTCATGAATCATCTCACCAATAGTAATATCTGATTTCATATTCTGTTTATCGAATCACAATTTTGAGATCTTATCAGATCTATAGTTTTGTCTCGTTGTAATAGAAGTTTTTTTTTATGGTCGAGTGCATCTACTTTCTGCATCTTTCCTGGAATATAATTATAAACATAACCATGAATTACAAAAAAAAATGAATCACACGTATGGTATATTTCGAGTGAGTTATGTTCATCTGAATAGAGATTATCTATGCTTAATATGTTATTTAGCTACCGAATCAAAACTACCTCGTGACACAATAATTCCATTTATTCAGTACAACCTTTCTTCTTTTCATAGTTCTCTTATATTCTATTTCAGTCGAATGACTGAAGCATATAGTTAATTTGTTTCAGAAATCAGTAATTATAAAATGATTTCTTTTTTCTTTTTGTTCGCATCATAATTTCATGAGAAAAATATGAGTGATTCAAAAAAAAACAAGATATAAATATGCATTGTTTTTAATAGCTTTGTACTGGATTTATGCCATATACAATGAGGCAGAGTTATATATTGGTTGTTCTTATTATCATACCATTTATTATAATGGTTGTAATTCATTCGATTATTTTTTTTCATACTTGGTCATCTAATCGACGTATCAATTTAACAGATGATCGGATGCGAACACGACAATTATCTCAACCGGTTTTAAATGCACGAGAGAAAAGTCTGCTGAAACACATGATTGTAATGATCACTCTGTATATGATCGGATGGTTGCCATTTTGTATTACTCGAATATTTTTTCAATCGTTTTCAGGGTGTGGGTGTGGGTGGGTGTGGGTGTAGGTGGGTGTGGGGTGTGGGTGTGGGTGTGGGTGCGGGTGTGGGTATGGGTTTTTTCTTCGCACACACCCACACCCACATCCACAGCCACACATACATCCTCATAGCCACAGCCACAGCCCACATCGATACCCAGACATCCATACTCACGCCCACACGCAGCCACATCAGCACCCACACCCACATCCACACCCACCCAAATGTTCATGATAAGCACTAGTTTTTTATGCTTTTTTTTTCCTTAGATGTCAGAAGTGATAAAATACTTGAGTCTACAATATTCATCATAATTTGAATTTTCTGGAATGTTATCGAAACAAACTCTGCAAGCTATATATCGATACTTGTTTTTTTTTAGAAAGCTATGGTTTGATCTCTATTGATGCTTGGAAATCAAGTAAAACTATGGTTGAATCGATTGATGAAAGAATGATGATACAAAATCCTATTGGACAACGATGTCTAAGATATTATTATTATTTCACTGTTTATGATAAACTTGATGGGGGCCAAAAAATTTCAGTATTAATCATATCTAATAATGAAACTGATAACGAAATCGAAATAGATCGACTCTCAGCTGTCGACATGGTAGAAAATCGTTGACATTTCAAAAATATAACATTCAATTCAACATCTGCTGAATATTCAGTAACATTCGTTTATAATTAATAATACGGTGAAATCAATTTCTTAATAATTTTTTGTTGATCATTCGTTTCGAAGTTACAAATGTTAATCGAACTGATAATCCTGCATTGAATAAAACAATCTATTTTGCATTGAATAATATTGAACTATATAACCGAAATTGTCAGAGTAAATAACACAACATATAAAGCAGAAAGATAAGTAGCAAAAAGCAATGATTTAAATGTTTTTAGGTATGATCGAGACATCTACGAGTCCGATGACTACATCAACAATTACATCACAATCTCCAATGACAACAATACCAACAACAACAAGAGGTGAAACATCAGGTACGCCTTCTCATGAGTAATAAAATGTTTCATTGTTTTATTTTCAACTATTTCTATTTCTCTGTTTAGCAACACCTAATGATTTGGGTCTAATTCTTGGTCTATCACTTGGTCTTGGTATTCCTGCTTTGATTATTCTAACTGGTGGTATTGTCTACTTCGTAAAAAAACCTAAAACAAAGTCTAAAGTACTAGTTGAAAATTCTACTGCTCTTACTGATATCCCAATGAAATCGACGGATAGCGCCACCAATCGTAATGCGACGGCAACAGTCTGAGTGATCTAATTGGATTCTAATACAAATAAACACAATAAATTAATATAAACCTGTGCAATATTGTTCAAATTTTAATTGTACTAGCGCGTTTTTTTTTCTATTCGAATAATAACAAATAGATGAAATGGGACGTTCTAATCAGAATGTCTTCTTCATAATATAATACGAAAGTTATTTTTAATTCATGAAACTTATTGAAAAAACAACTAACATCAATCTTTTATTTCTCTTTGTGATTTTCCAATAGAAAAGACTGCTAGAATAGAGTATCATTCTTGTTATATGTTGGTTATCAAGTAAAAAAAAAAGAAACAGAACAAGAAATTCGTAGCGAAAACATTATCTTTCCATCATTACTGTAAATATTATAATCTTTGCTTTATCGTACAGGTAGGGACTGATTTTTATAACAACTTCTATTGAACAAAGTAAGCTTTACCTTTTTTAGATTTTCACAAAAAGAACATTTTGCGTCGGACTGCTTTATCTTCTTGAAAAATTTATGTAACTCAGCCATAAATTCTTTTTTCGAAGCAAAATTCGTTTTTCTTTAAAAGTTATTGAGTTACGCTATAGAAATCTACTTAAATCCAAATAGATGCTTATTCCTCTCAATTAGATTCACGCAAAACAGATCCAATATGTCAGATTTGAACCTGTTGTCCACATACTAGATTCTCTGTCAATATTTTAGGTTGATACGTTCTTCGCTGTGTACCATTAAATAAAGCGCATTTTATTGTATCTGAGATGGTGCTTTGAAGCATCTGGAGAGTGCTTCAATGTTGAGAAGATAGCGCAAATCGGTTTGCAAATTTGTGCTTGAAAGTTGTTAATGATACCTATTCGCAGGGTGTGGGTGTGCGTACTCTTTTGATATTCACTCACAACAACACCCATGCCTATACCTATACCAATCCTATTCAAAAATAAACACTTCTGTACTCAATTTTGGCAAGAAAATGAGAAAAAAAATAAGCAAAAAACTTTTAAAAATTCTAGATCGATCTGTCTGAAAAAATTTGTTTCTACCAGCCGGTAAGCAATTCTAGACAGAATCGGATCTGCCGTTCATCATTATTGGTTGCAACACTGACACCCACACCCACGCTCACACCCTCTTAGGAATCTCATAATGCTCTTTCTACAGTTATAGGAAATTTTCTTACATGACAAACAAGTCAATTCGAGAACCTAATTAAAGGGAAACAAACTGTCAATTACGCACATCACACGCACAGTTCACGAAATGGAAGCTTTTTAAAAATCATGAACACAATCACAATTCGATGTATGGATATTTCTTCTTCGGAAGCATCATGTTTATCTGAGCCGTTTCCCGTGGGCATAATTTTTATGTTTTTCATGTTTCTTCGACTTTATCATCGGGTACGACTATCGATGAATATACTATCAAATGTTTGATTATGGCAATTATTCTCCATACATCAGTTGGTCACCATTAATGTCTATTATCTTAACGATGTGATATTTTCTTTTGTAGTGCATGGATTAAGAACGCAAAAATACTAGAGGATAGTATGATTTTCTCCAGAAAACTAAATGTACTATGATGAATGTTATAACTT